GTCTATACGTTCACTCGCTGGCTGCTGCGAGGTGACAAAACATTTATGACGCTGGGGTTAACCAGTCTTAGCAAACTGCGGTGTTAAGCCGCCACAAACAATGCACATAAAGCTAATTTAAAGACAAACATCACCCGCATTTGAAAGTTTCTGTACATTGAAGTTTGTCTGGAGGGTGATCGGCTGGAGTTTTACTGGAAGCACGGAAGAGTTACTTTAGTCATTGAAGTTCCTTTTGTTTGTGCTGGACAAACCATCTATTTATGTAGTGGGGATATTTTCTGTCACCCTTCAAATTATTGTTATTATTTAAAAGAAAAGGCTAGGAATCCCAACATTGCAACACATTTTACGATAGGAAAAAAAAGCACATTTCCTTTGTTTGATTTCACATAAAAAGTGTACTTTAACGTTTTATTCTGAATGGTAAAACATTTACTCTATTTTTGATGTGTTGGTGTGTGTCACTGAGGCCTTAATTTGATGTTCCATAGTTGTCAATTGACCGAACTTCATTTTGATCTCAACTGCACATCTGTAAACATTTTGTGACTGCAACTTGCACGATTACGACACTCTCGCGGTCACAAAATCTGTCCACCGACACCCACAGACACACACAGACACACACATACACACACAGACACACAACCCTGCACAAACAACAGGCCATCTTTGAAATCAAGTTTTATTTTGATCACAATACCAGGGTCAGTGTTGTAGTAAGGGATAATGTGCAGTGACGCGGTCATTATGGGGAAAAGAACACCGACAGGCTGATCAGGAGCCTGACGCGAAGCGTGAAAAAGAGATCAATGATCTCAATGGGATACACCTGGATAAATAAAGGTTTGAAATGAAATGAGAAGCTCACCATGTTATAGTGGTTGTTGGCGCTCCAGATGTAAGGACAGTTGCCGGCGCAGAAGTTGGCTTTGTAGCCTTTGGGCTCGTGGATCCACTTCCAGTTGAGGTCCCGCCTGAAGTCGATGTAGAGCGAGCGCAGACAGCAGCCCTGCTCAGAGCCACTGACACACAACACACACACACACAGGGAAATATTTCAACTGCCATAGTGCTTTTTCTCGGTCAGGGGCATGGGCCCAAAGCTGGGTCATGGGAATATGACAACGGGTCTGCATTGAAGCAGCGGCCATCAGAAGGTAATAAGTACCCGATGCTGCCAGAGTTTTCCCCTGCAGCGTGAGGTAGTCTAAATAAAACACTGCACGCCTGCTGGCCTGCAGTCTAAACACAGGGTCAATATTGTTAGTTTTGTCACACAATAGTCTGCAAAGTTTGAGGTGGGGAGAAAAAAATCCTCCTCCCACCACAACTAGATTTCAGTAATATGAAACTACATGTCAGTGAGACACACACACACACACACACACACACACACACACACACACACACACACATACACACGCGCGGCTGGTCGGTGGCCTACCGGGAGCAGGTGGTGGTTTCTGTGGCGGCCGCCCTCTTCTTGCGGTTCTTCTTGGGCAGGTTGTCCACTCTGTCGCTGGGCAGTATGGTGAGGATGAGGTGCGGCGTCTTGGTGCTGAAGTCTGCCTGACCTTTGACCTTACCGGGCTTTCTCATCTGACGGAGCAGCTCGTCATCCACACCTACGGAGAGCAGAGTCACTGTTAATACAGCGGCTGAGACCTGCTTTATTTTCAATTCATGTTTATGTTATAGGTGGTAGTAAATAAGTGAATTATTCATGTTAAACAGTTGACTATACTTGAAAGATGACTACACATTTAATTGTAATGCTTAATTTGTGAAGGAATAAGTAAATGAGATAATATATAAGCAGTATTTTGGTAACACTAGTGTAAAATAACAAAGTGCAATATTTACTGCTACTTTTTTATGTTCAGTTTTGCCGGTCCTTATCTTTTATAATGTGGATGATTACTTTGATATATATCTTTTATTAATGTGTGCATGCCTCTTTATTTAATATGTAAGTATACTCTTTTATGTTGTCTTTATCTGCACTGAAAATAAAATGTATATTTCCCTGCTGTGGGATAATTTCTAATTAAGAGTGTTGTTTATACGCTTTGAGCAAAACAGAACAACACTTCGCCGAATGCCATTCTGATTGATAATAAGATGACCTTTGATTGAAACACAGTTACACTGAGTGAAAAAAGCCGGAGGACTCATCAGTCTGAGGAAGCTAGCCAAGTTCCAGTCTTAACCTTTTCATTTATTTTGCTAAAAATGCATCACTGACAAGGGATTGACTAAAGTCAGCAGCAAAATCTACCTGAACTGTACAAACAGTTGTTAAAGAAGGCATGCATTATATCTGACAGCACACACCCGCTCACAAAACCACCAGCCAAAACTAACAGATATAAATCCTCCTTCGTTCCTCCGGCTATTTCTAGAGCGGGTAGCATCTGCACAGCGCCAGCCATGACCGGTTTCTTACTCTTTTATTTATAATATTGTACATTTCGTACATCATGTGTCCACCCTTTCCTCTTACTTGTATATGTGTGTTTGTATTATGTCTGTCTTATCCTGTGGTTATATTGCTACTTCGGCAAATGTAATTACCCATTAGGGAAGAATAAAGGTCTGATACTTGACTAAGGACAGAGACGGTCATATATATACTGTATGTGTTCGTGAATGCATGTATAAAACAGCAATGAGAGCATGCCTCTTTCTGATTTCATGTTTTCTTTTAGAGCTCAAAACAAGCCCCTTCTTGTATTACATCAGTATAAAAAAGTTGTTTTTTTCACCAAGTGGTAAAAAAACTGACTTTGCTCAGCTGGGTGTAAATCCTGAGGAAAGTACCATAATTTGGGGCCTAAATGAAGCAACACAGACTGTCTGAAATCCAACAGTTTCACAGTGTGGGGAAGAACAGTCTCCTGGTTATTCCTGAACGATAGTGTGTAAGTGCATCATGAATCATTTCAGAGGCGCCTTGCAGGGAAGTCTGCACTTAATGTTCAAATGTTATGACCTGCGGGATTATTTCTGTACTGATCAATCTAATTTTAGTGCTTTTAATGCCCTTAAAAAGTTATTTACAACCAATCTTTTAAATTCCTCATTTATATGACCATTCACTTAAAACTGGGGTTAAGTTAAAGGCTGTGGTAGGCTGTTTATTTTTGCCAAAATTGGGATAAAAAAAACAAAACCTTTAGGCATATAGTGATTTAAGTGGGCTGAGAGAAAGCTAGACCTTTGCTGTTTTCAGGCTTCAGTTAGCCTGTAAAGTGAGACCGTAGCCTATCCCAGGTACATTCAGAGACAATTGTACAGGTTACTGTATGAAGCCCGGGCATACGCGCCCGGGCATACGCGCCCGAGTATACGCCTGGGCATACGCCTGTGGGCATACGCCTGTGGGCATACGCCTGTGGGCATACGCCTGTGGGCATACGCCTGTGGGCATACGCCTGTGGGCATACGCCTGGGCATACGCCTGGGCATACCAATTGAATAACGATAATAATATGTTTATTTATTCACTTTTAGTGTGTTATGGTTAGCTCAACATCTTTACATGTGGCCCAAACTCAACTAATGTCCACATCCACAAACAACCAACTTCAGGAGAGTCTCAAATCATCATCATCTCTGTCAATCACGTGAAAGACTTTCACTCAGGAAGAGGTTAAACTCTTTAGCATGGTTCTGCCAGAGGCATGACAATTGTTTCTCCAGTCAAAATGTGTATTATTGTATTTATTTGTTTGTTGGTAAGAGACAAGAACACCAACAGTTAAAGCAGTGTCTGGTGTACTGTGTATAGTTAAAGCTTTAAAGCCAGTCCTGTGATGGGCATTGACAGTTCAAGTAATCATTCATGGAAAACATATAAGCACACACTGTGGGTTAATCCAAGCCTTATAAAGTTGCTCTATTAATCCACCCCGCACATAAGTACCAGGACTTGGCTGATATCATACACAGTGAAAAGGACAGGTGCGACCAACCTGCAAACAGAGCCTCCAGCTCCTCACTCTTGTTGGGCACGATGTTGTTGGTGGACGGCACGAAGGTGCAGCAGGGACAGTGGACGCCCAACTTCAGGCCGAGATTATTCTCTGAGCGGTGAGAAGGACAGATTACCTCACAGATGAACCTCAATAACACTGTATAGTATACATATATACACATGTTATCAATCTTATATGTGGAGGCAGTGCTGAGACGAACCTGGATCTGAAATCCAGTCCTTGATGGTTTCGGTGACGTCCACGGACATCCAGGATCCCTTCGCCTTCGGCTGAACGGTGCGGGAGTCGATATAACGCTGAGTGGAGGTGCTCTCCTCGTCTGCCTTCAATAGCTGAGACAAAACACAGTTATAATAGAAAGGTGGAAATTACAAACCTTACAAGAAATGTAAAAAGATATAGAGGTATTTTTTGGCCTACGCAGAGAAAATTACCTTCCGAGTTATCCTCCAATGTTACACCATTTTATCTTAGTTAAATCTTATTTTGTATTTCTTTTTTATTCTGGCCTGGAAGGGGAGGTTATTAAGTTGACTGCATTATGTGAACGATGACCAAGCTGACTGTTGGTGTTTTCTCTGTAGTGTGTTGTCGTTTTGCTATAAGAAACAGTCACTGACAAGCACTTTAACATTACTGTCAAATTGTTAATGAAAACACAATCCACTAAGAGCATTGAAACACACCCATGAAGTCTGTAATGTTGCTGACATCTAAGAATCAGTAAATATAATTTCCACTGTAGTAAGGGGGGCAGTGAGTTGATCTTCCTTCATTATAACATAAATGGTAAGGAGCCTAACACTGTATGTCACAAAAAATATCACAAATCAATAATATCCTGCAAATGTCTCTTCAGGCATGTAAATGATGGTTACCCACTTCCCCCTGGCTAACATATTTCTGTGTGAGGTGTGCATTGTCTCCCTCACGTCAAAATATAAGACATGAGAAGATTTATTGTCATAAAAGTCTTGTGGCATGATGCCCAGATTCTGAGAGGAATTTAAATGGTACTCCTGTTTCCACCTTGTGGATTTCTTTTTTCAAAGATGAAAGAGCTCCTGGTTCTGCTTATTGTAACTAAAAGCAACCCAACACGATTAAAAATAAGCAATAATGAAGTTTCCTATCCATGATTGCAGGACAAAATGTATTGTTGTTTGGATGTAAAAGGATAAAAAGAGAAAATAATGTTAATGGTTGACTAAACTCTGAAAAGATACTAGGATATGAGCTACACAGCACTCTATATGTAGAAGAAAAGGTCGAACAAGGGATAGGTATCTGGTCTAAATGTTGATAGAGCTAGAAATGGGGATAACCCTACACAACGGAGCAAAGGAAATCGGACAATTGTTGGAGACTTCAAGAAGCTCAGATGGATAGAAAATGTGGGAAGACTACAAAAATGAAAATGGTGTGGATAAATTGGAGAGAAGGGTGGACTGCTAGAAATGAAATTCCCAAACAGTTTGAAGATGTGTTTGTTTATGATGTTCCTCTGTTGGTTTTATGCAAATTTCCCCTCTGTGGGACTAGTAAAGGTATTCTGATTCTGATATGTTTATTAAGGTTAGAATCGTCAAGAAAGTGTAGAAAAATAATAATAATTCATAGCAATCAAATTTGTCTAGACACATGTTAGTTTGGTGGTGGTGCGGTCTGAGTGATAAACAGGTGACTTGTTGATACCTGGTAGATCTCCACTCTCTGCTCCGAGGCCCCGGCCTGCGGGTTGGGAGCTCTGAAGATCCTGAACTCGGCCTTCGTCAGCGTGCTGTTGGTCAGATCCACTCCACTGACGTCAAAGTGGACCTCTCTGTAATGTGGGTTGGGGGCTGATGGCTGAACCGCATCTGGATGGAAAAAACAAAGAAAGGATGACTAATGACCCAACAACATCTCCTGCCCTATCTGACAATGTTGTATTTATAGTGTTGGTTAAAAAGCGCTGTGGGGCTGATGCATTGTCTCGGACATAATTGATGCTGATGAGTGTCTCACAACTAAATTACAGGTTTGGGTGCAGCGAGTAAATTCGTCTGGTCTTATGTTTAATATATGGACGATTGTTTCCATTTTTCATGGGTGTGTGAAACTACACAGATGTTTAATTATGCGATGTAGTATCCAGTAACATTAATCTTAACATCTCCAAAATGATGTCCACGAACTTCAAGTTTTGTCTCTTTTTGTAAGAGCGGCTGGCTGTTTGTCACTGTAGAGCCACTCTCAAGGAATCTGAGAAGCAGATGCCTTGCTCAAAGGTACGTCTTCTGTAGCTGTTTTTGGGAGGTAACTTCACTGTATCTACTGTTGTTTACTGTATCTGACATCCAAGGTATCCAATGTCAATAAAACATTTAACAAATCATCTTAGATTTTGGATTATGTAATACCTGTTGGATTATGTAATAGCTTTCCTGGTTTTAAAGAATGAATTACAGTAATTTTCTGTTGGCAGAAAGTTAACAGACAATCTACAATTTCTTTGCATCATTGACATTGTGGTATTTTATGATAACTATTGTGTACAGTCTACTTTAGTCTCAATGTGTGATATAATGATTTATCACTGCAGTTCTAAAAGATATTGTGAACATAAAAAACAATGGATTGCTGTTACTATTTCTTCCATTGTCTGCATATTGGATATGATTTAAAAAAATCTAAGCAGAAAAAACACTCTTAAGCCTAGTTTTTGTTTTAGCAGGCTATGAACAGCGATAAAGGTCAACAGATTTTTGATAAAATATTACTTTATTGTCAGATCAAGTCTGAAGTTTATCTTGCATCAAAGCACCTCCATTTGCAACATCAACAAGGACGCATATTATTCAGAGGGGTGAGAAGTAAAAAAGTTGGGAACCATTTTGTAATCTAAAATATTTGTGGTTTTGGACCCCATCAGTGAACTCTAAGGACCCTGGACTCACTTGTGTTGGTGCGGGGGGGCAGCATGTCGATCCTCTGAACTTCTTTGGCGTAATAATCCTCCTCGCTGCTCTCGCGGTCGCACGCGGATTCGGCCAGCCGCGCACGCTCCTTCAGCAGCTCCCGCGTGCTGTTGTAGAGCAGCACGACCTCTGGGGGCACGGACCCGGAGGGATGGTCCTCGTCGTCCTTGTCCGGTGGGGTGCGGATGCGCAGCTTGCTGAGGATCTGCCCGCGTACCGCCTCGATGCGCCGCGACTTCTGCGCGTCCAGGTTGATGGAGTGGCACGTGTTGAAGCCCTCCACGAGCAGAACACCGGAGAACCGGAGCAGCAGCAGCAGCAGCGCGAGGCGGAGCAGCCACATGGTCCGGGGGGGAGATGGAGCTGAGACAGTGGAGGTCACTGTGAAGGTCACTGGGGGACACTAATGTCACTAAAACGAGTCCCAAAAACCAGGGGTGAAAAGATATGTGGGCAAAGTGGTTTAAACTGGAACCAATGCCTAAAAAAACTATTATAGTAAAATAAAGCCAAAGATAAAATCACTTTCTGTGGAATAGGAGACACACAGATTTACTTATTTTAACTTAATTGTATAAGTGTTCATACATTCTGCCACTTAATTTAACACCAGATGCATTATTTTATACACTTAAATGATTTTATCTGAAATAAATCAACAGATCCGAAGCCAAAAAATATCACACTACAACCAAACCCCTACTGTAAAAAACTAAAATATAGTGACTGGAGGTTTGGCAGAGGCTTAAATCCCAATCTCGTACGCTCAATAGCTTCGGTGATGTCTCGTGCCAGTGTTGAAGATATTAAATGACAGTCAAACCGTTCAGTTTAGTTTGATCCGTCTTCGTTTTCCGTCGTCCATCCTCGGATGATTGAACAGCTTTCAGGAGAAAAGACTCATCACAGGAGCTCAGCCCATGTCGCAAATCCTCCAACAAAAACCTGGCTGCTCACTTCATCTGAAGAGGAACGGCTCGCAGGCTCTCACCTCCCAAAGACCCCTCTCTGGAGCAAAAAACTGGCCCATACCCACTTCCAGAAACTCTACTTACAGCTTTTAAAAAACACCAATGAGGTCCTCTCATTCCGCGTTATATGTAAACAAGAGGGCAGCCTGCACTGAAACGTAGGAAAAAAAAGTTGATTTATGTTGGAAAAACCTTGGTGGGCACCGTTGTTCATATAAACATCAAAACACAGAAAAAGTCAGACGTCATGAAAAGCAATGACGCAGAAAAACATATGTAAGGAGTCCTTGTGCTGTGGATAAAAAAAGTAAACTTTACAGTTAATTTCAGATCCCCGGTCTAAATGCGCTCCAGCCTGAAATCTGTGCTGAAAACACTCAGACCTGCTGCATGATGTGACTCCATTATTCTCTGTGAGAAACGCTCAGAGGGAGGAGGAGGCGAAGGAGGGAGGGACTGGATGTGAGAGAGGTGGTGGTGGTGGGGCGGGTGGCCACCAAAGTAAAGCAAGTGTGTGATTATGTAGGCAAGAGCCATCTTCCTCTCTCTCTCACACACACACATTTTGCAATTTATTCTCCCCACAAAAATGCTTGCTCCACCCTCTCTCAGCAGGTAAACATCCCCTGGGGACAGCTCAGACTTAGAAGGAATAGTTTGACATTTTGGGAAATATGCGTATTCATTTTCACATGGCGTTAGAGAAGATTTATATCAGTGCATTAAATATGAAGCTGGCCTAGAGCAGGCTGTCAGCAGATTCTCCGAGCAGAAGCCAGAGGGCCAAGAAGCATATTTCCCTAAATGTAAATCTTTAACTTCAAAGAGAAGCTGGGAAAATGTATTGGTCCATGCGAGTGATTTCAAAACGCAGCTTAAGGAAGGATCTCGATCTCCAGCTTAGACTCACTCATACCATGCTTTAAAGTTTATCCTAATTGTATTAAATCCTTCCACAGCCCATCCCTTTTTTATCTTGATCTTTTCCAGCTTATGATCCAAGGCCCTTTCTTTCCTCTGTTCCTCTTTCAGTCTCATTGTTAATTACAGCTCAGCACTTGGAGAGGACTGTTAATCTGTCAGGGGAGGTTTTTATTGCTGCTCTGCTGCCATCCCATTATACCATTATTATAGTTGCGGGTGCAGGCCTATAATTGCTGTAAGTAGAAGGAAAAGGTAGGAGAGACTCAGGCTGCCTCCAGGCTTTTGGTCAGGGCAAACCCCCCCCCGCGTCATCGTCTGCTCTGGCAACTTTTCTAAAAGTGATAACGACGCCTACAAACAAAAAGACTCCTGTTCCAACCTGACTGCTGCACCGTCTCCCAGAAACGATTGAAAATACATTTAATATGTCTGCGGAATCTCTTTCAGTATTCTTCAAAATACCAGACACACCGTGGGGCATCGCAGATCACTGGAGCCCGCCCAGGTGTGTGTGCTGCAATGTGAGGCATATATAAAAAAAAAAAGATAGACTTCCTCAAAAACAACTTCTAGCCCGCCTGCTTTTTTCTGCTCCTTCACCTCAAAGCCAAATATAGACAGGCCACTGCCACGTCATCTGGCCCTCAGAACTTTCCTGAGGGCGAGATGGGGTTCAGAGCCTGCCTCTCGCTCAGGGAGCCTCATATATTTTAGCATGTCTGTAATAAGTTAATCCAAATTTTTACACAAAAACCTAAAACAATTTTGGCTAGTCGTGGAAATCAGGACAGTTTTATTGGAAAAAAAAGAAAGAACAAACCCAAACAGTTACAAAAATAAATACAGATAAAACCACTGGGGGGGTTTCTCTCGGGAAAACATTTCCATCTGTTCAAATCATTTTTCCTCCATTGGCAGCTTCAGACGCTTAGATGTCACAACAGCAATCAACCAAACAGTGTGGCCCGTTTTCTCAGGGCATCAACTTCAAGTCCAGTCTCTATGAATACACAAAACAATATAGTGACAGCTCGGGGGGAGGCTGTGTTGGAGTCTAAACCTCGTCGTCGTTCAGCAGCATGTTGGGGATTCCTCTGGAGATCGGGAACTCTCGTCCGGATTCAGGGCACCGCAGACAGCCCTCGATCACCTCCACCTGCAACACACACACACAGGCGGTAAGAGATCAACTCTAGATGTCACCATAGTTTGAAATACACTGTATGACCACAAGTATTAGACACCCCCGATCTGTTGTAGCCCAAACCTTTCAGTTCCAATTAAAGAGGCCCCATTATGCTTTTCACTTTCCTGTAGTGTGTTATAAAAGTCCAGCACTCCAGGTTTCATAATAATGGTAAAGTGCTGTCTGCGATTTTAAACCCAATACTTGTAAAAAATCTGCAAATATCTCCTCACTGTGCGTTAGTTGTCACTTCTGTGGGTGCAGGATAAGCCTTGGCTCCAGAGAGAGTCCCTCTTCCAGACAGGACAGGGGACATTAAATACCAACACTCTTTCTCCAGAATGACTGACTCCACCTTTAATAGGCTGTAGTTAAGCTGAGGTACCCAGACTTTTATAAGCACCTTTTAGCATTCAGCATAACATGAAATCAGTGAGGCCACTAGCTGAATCTTAATAAGAGGGTTATCCATATTTCTATCTTATTATTAGCTTTATGTAGTACGTGATCACAGTTGTACGTTAGAGTAAGGTGCCTTTATTTGATTGTTTAAGAGCATGAGGTCTTGTTAGTCTAGTGCCATACAGTCCTGCAAATGGCTTCACACCATTCCTATCATCTACAGGTGGCAGAGATGAACCAAGAAACGGAGCAATGCGTGTAGAAAAGGCACGAAAACATTCATGTGAAATATGGAGGACTGGAAAAACATATTCATAAAACCGTTTTGCTGATGTTTTATGAGGCAGGAAATGCTTTCAGCACATTTTTGAAACCTCAACGATTTACACAATGGGTTTTGTTGAGTTACTTTTGTTTAAAAACAAACAGTTTGGGGAAACCGCTTTTCTGTTTCAACATGACAAGGCACAAAGCCAGGACCACACTGAAATACATGTCTGAGTTTGGTGTGGATGAACTTGACTGGTCTGTAACATAACTCCTCAGAGAAGAACTGGAACCAGAGGTGGACTTCACAGATGCTCACGTGGCTGAATGGAAGAAAACCTCTGGACCCAGGATCCAAAATTGTGTAGAAAACCTCTGCAGAGCAGTTGAGGATGTCATGGCAACACAAAGCGGCAATAATAGAGCTGATTGGGAGGAGGAGCAGGTTTCACACTAATCACAGGGCTGACATAGCGCTCTCCGGCTCCTCCATCACAATCAGTGAGAGAGTGTTCAAACGAGAGTATGAAGCGCTGAGTGCCTTAACATGGGTCGTTTATTTGCCATTTATGCTAAGGGGTTGGAATGAGGTGTTCAACATCCTTTTTGGCCATGCAGTGTACATGCTGGGGTTAGAATAACATCCATGGCTTTAGTATTTTGGTGCCTGTGTTTGATCTCAACATAAATGGCTTCTAAAACAAGACACTGGACAGGAAACAACCACATGAAAGCTCTGCTGCTAATTGCTATAGCCAGTTATAGAAACAGGAAGTGAAGTGCCAACTCTACCTTCCTATGTTACTGTGTGAGAGTACTATAAACAATTCCATAACCTTACCTTTAAAAACAGGTTCAGGCTTATACAAATGTGTATGGTTAAAAAATATTTGAATTAAAGATCCATAACAACTTGTGAAGTTTAACATTTCCCCCAAAACAAGACCTTTGTATCCATGGAGAAAATGTATACTTGATAATTGTTGATGGACAGATAATTAATATAATTTCATTATCAATTAGTCATACAGTGTTTTTAACATTCTCAGGCTGTAAATCCTGTGATGTGAGGATCTGCTGGTTTTCTCTGTATTTGTCAACTACATATCTTTGGGTTTCGAACGGTTGGTCAGAGAAGAAAAGACACCTGATGATGTCTACAAATCCTTTTTCACTAGACCAAAAGATAAACCAAGTGATCAAGAAAATAGGCAGATTAATTACAAATTAAAGTTGTATGTCTAGGCCCTAAAAACCTCCATGTGCATCTTGTTATTACAAACTGTAGTGGTAAGCACCATGACTGTTTCTTACCTCTAAAAGCACTCTGTGCACTTTCTTCAGAAACTCTTCGTTTTTCTCGTACTCTGGCACCAGCTCAACCGGCAGGTCTTGCCGATGACCCAACTAAAGAGGGAAAGAGACAAGTGTTACAACCAGGCAGTGGTAAATACATTAGTGGATGTTAATGGGTGGCAAAAGACACCATTACATATACTCCACTTACTGGTTAACAAACCGCAAACAAAATCAAAACATTGACACTATATCCAACACTCTGGTATACTTTGTTAACCCTTCCTTCATCTTCATCAATCCCCTGGACCACTGCTGTTGACACAGTCCAGCATTTTATTTGCTTTTTTTCTATACTGATTGATATGTGTGTGTACCTAAATCAGTGAAGAATCTGAATATTACACAACAGGTTTTTTTTTTTCGTATTTTGATTTGATGGACTTTTCAAAGAATGTATTTTCTTAAAGAGAGAGATACTTAGCAGCTT